ATGCATCCATTCGATTTTTCGAGTAGTCCAGTATTCGAAAATATGTATCCATTCAATTATTTGCGGCATTCAAATATTCGAGTTCGAATAGTTGTGGAACTGAGATTCGAATGAATTCGATAGTTTGAATGTCTGGGCAGCGAATATGAATAAGATCGTACATTCATGTTTGAGTGAGATATTCGAATAGTATGATAGCTTGAATAATAAAGTCGAACACTCGAAAAATATCGTCTATTATTCAAACATTAGCTATCCCACTATTCAGCAATTTAAATAGTCGAATAAACAAAATCCCCACCATTGAATATTCGAACTCGCATACATTTTCGAACGCGATTCAAACATTATTCATTCATTCGTATATATTTCAACGAACGAATAATCAGTATTCGTTTATTTGTAGAAATTTCTCGTATATTCCAACTATAGTTGCGAAAACATAAAAAGAGCCTTCTTTAATAATAACCTGCGATACTAGATATTTCTCTAAATAAAAAAAATTAGGGATCCTATAAAAGGGAGCTATTGTGAAACTTGATGCTATTTCGAACAAAGTATGTTTATAAACAGTGGGAATTCCCTAGGTTCTTTTATACAAGTAATTTATATATTTGTTAGTCTAAAACTTGCAGGCACCAAACTTTATCTGAGCCATGTAAGATGGGTGAACATATTCTGACGAAAGGGTAACTAAAAACAACAAAGAGTGCCAAGACACGCCTAAATATCGCAGCAAGAACATTATCAGGCATTAACACAAAACCGGGTAAGCGCTTTCCCTCAAAAAATTATATACTTCTTAAAAGGCGAAAATCTGATATAATTTCGTTGATGCATCCCTTAAGGAATTCAATGGCCTTGTTTCCAAAAACATGGTCAGGTCTGCATCTCTATCATTTATTCTACCGGCGTAGACCTATTCCTTGCAAATTTATGCAACGATGTGATTCAAGAATAAAAATTATGGGTATTCATTGATTGGCAACAATCTCGGTTTGAGAAGAGAAATGGTTATCTTGTTTTTCAAAAGAAGTACTCTTACGAAGAGAACAACAAAAAATGACCCTAAAGTTCACCATATGCCACCTGATTTTCTAAACATGTGCGAAGGTGATAGCAAAACCTGGATGATTATTTTTTTATCCAGATATACAGTGACTTTGAATACTTTGAAGCGATCTAATTCCACAAACATATGAAATGATAGTAAGGCTCAAGATATCCATAAGAGAATAATATTTTCTCTTGGATAAAACACTTTAACACTTCTCCGCAACGGTTTTTTTTTACAGATTAATAGGATTTGATGTAGAAAAACTCATGAAAAGTAAGAAAAAAACTGCTTCTGATTCCATAAAACAAAAGAATAAGATCACAAGTTAGTGTCTCCATTTGTGTATCTAATTAGTAGAACTGGAAAGATAGATGCTAATTTTGAGAAAACCCCAAAACTGATGCAACAATCAGAATTTTTTTCAAAAAAAGATAACTTCACAATATCTAGGAAAAACTTCACGCTATAACAAATACTTCCAAGAGTCATCATTTGAGTCAATGATTGAAAA